ACGGCTGGCCCCATGCCCTCCTCCCCGGAGCCTCTCCTGCCCGTGGCATGCCAGGGAGTGCGGGGTGCTGTGTGCTTCTCATCGTTGGAGCCCATCACCCCGTCACAGGGTCCTTGTGGTTCCTCTGCCTGTCAGTACCCTGAATTCTTTTTCGGCTTCCAGTAATTTCCCAGGAGTGTCAGTATCTACTCACTGAGGACGTATCGAAAGATTTGAATGTTCTGTACCCTGAGAATGTTTCTAAGCTTTGCCCTGTGTGTCCCTTAGGTGGTTCACAACAACTTCCAAGAAGTCCTCCTATTTGCACCTGCTGCACCAAGCCTGCATGGTGGGAGGTGTTTCTACCTTCTTAAAAGGACAACTGATTCTCTACCCCCTGCTTAGGGTCAGAATCTCCAGGGCAGTGGAGCAGCTGCACATACAATAGAACCACAATCAGTGAGAGGCAGTGGGACCAAGCAGATGGGGAGTCACGAGCTTTGCCACTGAACCATAGTTTAGTGTGAGCTTGGGCAAATCTCTGCTTCTGTTTCCCAGTTGTGAGCAGTTCCCAGCATGCTAGCATCATAAACTCAGTTTGGGCCTCTAATCTCTGCCCTGGAGACAACTGTCTGGGTTTGTGCAGGTCCCACCCTCTAGTTAATTGGATTTAGTTGCCTGCCTGTCTGTAATACAGTAACTTCTGAATGTCCCATTTTCTCAATTCTAAAAAGGCAGGGACATTTCTGTGTCAGAGCCAGAATCCTGTTCTTGTTGTGGATAATCAGATTCTCTGTTGATGACCCCAACTAACACTTTGCAGCACAGCTGCCCTGCTCATGCTCCCAATAGAGTTTAACATGTTAACTCCCAAATGACAGAAAATTCTTCTCCTTGCTGGGAGCCAAACTCAGCCAGCAGGTGAGATGAAACCGCCCCTTCCTCTTTCTGCCACACCTTCTGAAGATAGGGCACCAGACATCCATTCTTCCAATCTGGGGAGTGGAGACTTCTGAAAACTGTGGCATGATGCAAAGAATGGGGACCCCGGTTTGCAGGACATAGAGATGGGGTGTAAACATAGCCCCTGGCATGGTGGCAAGAGACAGCATGGGGGGGAGGCAGCGGTAATTAATGGAGGTGTGCTCACGGGACCCCTGGCACGAGGGAGTAGCAGGGAGGGGGGGTGAACAGGGAGGGGGGGCATGCAAGGTGCCCTTCATGTTCCATGCATCCAGTCTACACAAGATACAAAGTATGAGAGAGACTAGCTGTGCTGGAGGGTGTTGATGATACCAGCAACTGGTTGTTTGCTCAATAGACAGTTGCCCGTAACTTTTGGAATTGACTGAGTCTGGTGTTCAAAAGGTGTCACATTCTGTACGCACAGACAGAAAACCAGAGATGCCCCAAGGTGTGTGTAAGGCATTCACATAAGCCGTTTGAGTTCACATCTTTTGTGACTTCACTGCAAGTCTATGCCTGGGTTGCTTCAAATTAACAGAATCTCATTTCACAACTGATTTCAATTCAATATGAATTAGACATTCTTCTACCAAAATAGTGATAGAACTGTAGCCATGTTAGTCTAGTCTAGCCGAAACAAAACACAGGACTATGTAGCACTTTAAAGACTAACTCTTTAAAGTGCTACATAGTCCTGTTTTTTGTTTCTACCAAAATGAGAGTGTTACACATGGATTTGCACTGAGGGATTTGCACCAAAGATGTGAGTTGAAATGGCTTAAGGTTTGCTGATGCCACTTTCTGAGTAGACTAGACTCATTACCTGTTGCCCTGTGCCACTGTTTCTGATGCAGAGGCAGCAGCCCGTCTGCAGGGGATCTGAGCTCCCCATGGTCAGAGGCTGCTGGGGAGGAGAGGGGTGCAGAGCAACTGAGCTAGAGGCAACAGTGCAGGTAAGAGGGGCAGGTGGACCTGGTGCTGGGGGGGAACTAGTTTTAAAGCTGATTCATTCCAGCACCAGCTCCTGCTTCCCACTCCCTCCCCACAGCAAGGGGGGAATGCTAGACTAACCAATGACTAGATTAACCAATTAAGATTAGGTTTATCGGTTAATCATCTAGTCAGGTACTCATTAAGATCACTACAGTCAGCACCATCATACCAGCCAGGTGTCCCAAACATTCCACTAGAATCTGTGCCCCCCAATTCCCAAAGAGGGTTCTGCCAGGCTGTCCTCAACTCTGGTCAGGATTAATTGCTTCACTGGCCTATAACACTCATGAATGCACATTTAGTTATTAGTTTAAGGGAAAATACCTTTAAAATACTATAATGAAACTTTTGGCTCCTAATGTGGTATCTCTGAAATAACATCACTTCATTGCACTCCCCTCTAGCTTTGGGCTCTGGCCCTGACATCTCTGTGGAAGGACATCAGGATGGAGGGCTATGGCTGGTATGTCGATCATCCGGCTGGTATCCACGGCCTGAGGCTCAGTGGAGAGACCAGCAGGGGAAGCTTTTACCATCAGCCTTTGAAAAAATATCCCCAGAAGCTGGTGGCCTGTTTCAAACAAAAATTGCCATGGTTCTAAAAGAAGAGTCCAACCAGAAAGTGTCCTGCCACGTCAGGAACCCCCGTGACAACCGGGAGAGAGAGTCAGCGATTTCCATAGCAGGTCAGTGCCCATCCGTGCCATGCACGGATAGACCAAGTTGTTGAAGATGTTAGTTTATTTGGTGAAATCCTGGGCATCCTCAATTCTCTGGATATGTCTGGTGACTAAAAGTTAGTTCTGTAGAATGCCTGTGGCCTGTCCAGGCTGGCATGTACTAGCTACCTTGAGTTAACCAACAGTCATTTTACTCAAGGTAAAAAAGAAAAAGCCTCTGGTGCAAACAAACTTTTGAGTACAGTAGGAGCTGAGGACGTTTAGCTCCTTGTGGGTTTGAACTCTATGGACCAGAAAAGCTCAATCTCTGGAGGGGGAATTCACCTTTGTTCCCAATGTGAGTTATAGGTAACAAATCTGGAGTCTTGCATCCAGTTCTGGGCCCCCCACTATAGGAAGGATGTGGATGCATTGGAGAGGGTACAGCAGAGGGCGACTAAAATGTTTTGGAGGCTGGAGCACATGACCTATGAGAAGAGGCTGAGGGAGCTGGGTCTGTTTAGTCTGCAGAAGTGAAGAGTGAGGGGGGATTTGATAGTAGCCTTCAACTTCCTGAAGGGAGGTTCCAAAGAGGATGGAGAGAGGCTGTTCACAATAGTGACAGATGGCAGAACAAGGAGCAATGGTCTCAAGTTACAGTGGGGGAGGCCTAGGTTGGATATTAGGAAAAACTATTTCCCTAGGAGGGTGGTGAAGCACTGGAATGAGTTCCCTAGGGAGGGGGTGGAATCTCAATCCCTAGAGGTGTTTAAGTCTCGGCTTGACAAAGCCCTGGCCAGGATGATTTAGTTGGGGTTGGTCCTGCTTAGGGCAGGGGGCTGGACTTGATGATTCCCGAGGTCTCTGCTAACACTGGGATTCTAGGATTTTGTGACTCTATGGGAAAAGTTACTGGGTGCTTAGCACCCCTTGGCAGCCAAGCTCCTCCTTCCCCCTAGTGCCTTATTCCATCACGATGAGCTGTTTTGCATCATGCAGAAGGGATGGAGGAGGAGTGGGGATGGGGCATACAGGGGTGGAACAGGTCAGGAAGAGGTAGGGATGGAATCTTTTAGGAGGAGGGGGATGGGGTCAGGACCTGGGGTAGGGTGGAGGGGGAGAGAATTGCTGGGGTTTAGTATTTTTGAGAAATCTGGCCACTGAGGCAACTTTTCCTGAAGAATATAAAAAGGCCCGGGTCAGGATCTCAGCACTGCTACTTAGATTGCATCTGAAAACATCACAACAGTATAACAACTGTGCTCTGGGTCCCCTCCTGCAGGACAGATTCTGGGAAAACTCCTATTTCCCTAAAGAGATAGAACTGAGGGATCAGACGTTAAGGTACACACTTGGACTGAAGTGGAGATGAACGTAGGAGATAGCTGTGTAGAGAGTCTCTGGGTTAAGCTAAAAGGGGTAAAAAACGAGGGTGATATCATGCTAGGAGTCTACTACAGGCCACCTAGCCAGGTGGAAGAGGTGGATGAGGCCTTTTTTAAACAATTAACAAAACTATCCAAAGCCCAAGATTTGGTGGTGATGGGGGACTTCAACTATCCAGACATATGTTGGGAAACTAACACAGCGAGGCACAGGCTATCCAATAAGTTTCTGGACTGCATTGGAGACAACTTTCTGTTTCAGAAGGTTGAAAAAGCTACCAGAGGAGAAGCTGTTCTGGATTTGGTTTTAACAAATAGGGAGGAACTAGTTGAGAACTTGAAAGTGGAAGACAGTATAGGGGACAGTGATCATGAAATAATAGAGTTCATGATCTTAAGGAAAGGTAGAAGGGAGACCAGCACAATTGAGGTTATGGATTTCAGGAAGGCAGATTTTGATAAGCTCAGAGAACTTGTAGGTAAGGTCCCATGGGAAGCAAGACTGAAGGGAAAAACAACTGAGGAGAGTTGGAAGTATTTCAAAGGGACGTTGTTAAGGGCCCAAAAGCAAACAATTCCGCTGTGTAGGAAAGATAGAAAATATGGCAAAAGACCAGCTTGGCTTAACAAGGAGATCTTGCATGATCTCAAAATACAGAAGGAGTCACATAAAAAATGGAAACTAGGACAACTAACAAAGGATGAATATAGGCAAGCAACACGGGAATGCAGGGGCAAGATTAGAAAGGCAAAGGCACAAAATGAGATCAAACTAGCTACAGGCATAAAGGGAAACAAGAAGACCTTTTATAAATACATTAAAAGCAAGAGGAAGACCAAGGACAGGGTAGGCCCACTGCTTAGTGAGGAGGGAGAAGCAGTAACAGGGAACTTGGAAATGGCGGAGATGCTCAATGACTTCTTTGTTTCGGTCTTCACCGAGAAGTCTGGAGGTGTGCCTAACGTAGTGAATACAAGCAGAGAGAGGGTAAGTTTAGAAGATAGGATACACAAAGAACAAGTTAAAAATCACTTAGGAAAGTTAGATGTCAGCAAGTCACCAGGTCCTGATGAAATGCATCCCAGGATACTCAAGGAGCTGATAGAGGAGGTATCTGAGCCTTTAGCTATGATCTTTGAAAAATCATGGCAGACAGGGGAGATTCCAGAAGACTGGAAAAGGGCAAATATTGTGCCCATCTATAAAAAGGGGAATAAGAACAACCCAGGAAATTATAGACCGGTCAGTTTAACGTCTGTCCCAGGGAAGATAATGGAGCAGGTAATTAAGGAAATCATATGCAAACACTTGGAAGGTAATAAAGTGATAGGGAATAGCCAGCATGGGTTTGTGAAGAACAAGTCATGCCAAACTAATCTGATAGCTTTCTTTGATAGGATAACGAGCCTTGTGGATAAGGGAGAAGCGGTGGATGTCATATACCTAGACTTTAGTAAGGCATTTGATACGGTCTCGCATGATATTCTTATTGATAAACTAGGCAAATATAACTTAGATAGGGCCACGATAAGGTGGGTGCATAATTGGCTGGATAACCGTAGTCAGAGAGTTGTTGTTAACGGTTCTAAATCCTGCTGGAAAGGGATAACAAGTGGAGTTCCTCAAGGGTCTGTTTTGGGACCCGTACTGTTCAATATCTTCATCAATGATGTAGATATTGGGATAGAGAGTACTCTTATTAAGTTTGCAGATGATACCAAACTGGGTGGGGTTGCAACTTCTTTGGAGGATAGGGACATAATTCAAAATGACCTTAGCAAGTTAGAGAAATGGTCAGAGGTAAACAGGATGAGGTTTAATAAGGAGAAATGCAGAGTGCTCCACTTAGGAAGGAACAATCAGTTCCATACATACAAGATGGGAAGCGACTGTCTAGGAAGGAGCATGGCGGAAAGGGATCTAGGGGTCATAGTGGACCACAAGTTGAATATGAGTCAACAGTGTGATGCTGTTGCCAAAAAAGCAAATATGATTCTAGGTTGTATCAACAGGTGTGTTGTAAGCAAAACTCGTGAAGTCATTCTGCCGCTCTACTCTGCACTAGTTAGGCCTCAGCTGGAGTACTGTGTCCAGTTCTGGGTGCCACATTTCAAGAAAGATGTGGAGAAATTGGAAAGGGTACAGAGAAGAGTGACAAGAATGATTAAAGGTCTAGAGAAGCCTATGAAGCCAGGCTTCATGAACTGGGCTTGTTTAGTTTGGAAAAAAGAAGATTAAGGGGGGACATGATAGTGGTTTTCAAATATCTAAAAGGGTGTCACAAGGAGGAAGGTGAAAATTTGTTCCTCTTGGTTTCTGAGGACAGGACAAGGAGTAATGGGCTTAAAGTGCAGCAGGGGAGGTTTAGATTGGACATTAGGAAAAAATTCCTAACTGTCAGGGTGGTCAAATATTGGAATAAATTGCCAAGGGAGGTGGTGGAATCTCCCTCTCTGGAGATATTTAAGAACAGGTTAGATAGACATCTGTCAGGGATGGTGTAGACGGAGCTTGGTCCTGCCTTGAGGGCAGGGGGCTGGACTCGATGACCTCTTGAGGTCCCTTCCAGTCCTATTATTCTATGATTCTAAGGTGCTTTGAATGGCACAAAAGCCAGGATCTACAGAACTCCACAGCCAATGTAACCTGGGTGTCCCTAGGGCACATATATTGATTTTTGGTTCATTTCATGAGCCTGACTCCACATTCCTTGTGCAATCAAATCCATGCGAGATTTTCCAGGGCTAAACAATCAGGCCCATGTTCTGCTGTACCTGAATTCAGCGGAACATTTTAGAAACCCAGATCAGATTTTTTTTTTGGATTATTTCCTCTCTAATGAGTTTATTAATGTGGAACCAATATTTTGTCACTGATAATTTTGCATTACTAAAGCACTGTTCCTCAGTCTGAGGGCTGTAGCATTTCCAGCTACTGTGGCTTGCCCAGTGTGTCAGTTTCAAGAGTCACCTCTTCCCCTGGGGAGCCAGGTAAGGTTTCTGGCTCCTAGCTGTCACCTCTCTTGGGCAGATACCTCACTCTGATTCCTCCAGCAGATCTGAGCAGGCTCCAGCACTCATAGACAGAAGGTGCCTTTTATTCCAAAAGTCTCACTTTGCCTCCCCCCCAGCCTCCTGGAAACCCGTAAAAGCATCCCCTCCCCTGTTCTCCCACTGGGCAATCTGCATAGCTACTGTTGTGAAAATTGGCACTAATCACCCCCTTCTAATTCCAGATTCCACTGAACAAGGACCACACAGGGTATGTCCACGCTGCAGTGTAAACCCACATGCAGACTCAGGCTTTGGTGTTACTAAAATCCCTGTGTGGCTGAGCTTCCCCCAGCACAGGGGTGTGGAGCTTCAATTACTGGTCAGAGTGCTCTTATCTCGAGGACCAATCTGCCATGGTTGCAACTCCGACATCTGTTAGGGGCGCCTAGGGGTTGTTCTGACTTACCCCAGTGGCAGATGGATGCTGTGCCCCCTCTCCACACCTAATATGCTCCTTCCCATAATTAACTGTGTTCATCAACCAGACTGCTAAGAAGTTCATTGGCTTAATAATAACAATGCACAAAAGGAGTCACATTTCATTTCATGTTGAATTTCACGATAAGATTCTTTTCCACTAGTTACAATGTCACCGCAAGTCACAGTGTCCTGCTTTCTTTTGACACTTTCTCCTGCAGCTCACTTCTTCCAATGGGGCTCACCCTGGGTAGTGACCCTGGGAGTAATCCTGGCTCTTTTCATTGTCCTAGCCAGCTATGGCTTCTGGAGGCAACACAGAGCAAAAGGTAAGGTAACGAAAAGGGAGAATGCAGTGTGGCAGAGGGAGATTTAATAACAGAGTAAGGACTCATGGGATGGGGGGCTTTGGTTCTATACTCAGACAGTTTGGGGTAGAAGAAACGTGGTGAGGGTGAACGGGAAGCTGAATAAAATAGGACTTCACGTCTGAACTGAGAAATATCAAATGAGTTCCCCTCTCAGACCATTCACAGGGATCCCACTCTAATGTGATTCTGAACTTGTGCCTGGAGATCAGCATTGCTCAGTTTGAAACACAAATGTGAGGGGCAGTGGGCTGGATTTAGTGCTTCAGTGTATGTAGCTTGGCTGCTTGTAAGAAAAACAGAACACAAAGTAGGAGGAGAAGAGAGATTCTTATGGCCAAAATCTGTCTTCTGTTGTACATGTACCACGAACAGTAGGACTTGTTACTTTACAAAGAGGTCTTTTGGGGACAATTAGAGTTTAAACTTTTCTTCTTTGCTCTCTCACTCTGAGGAGAAGCATTTGTTGGGGCTTTCCGTAATGATCTATGTTATGATGTTGATGATTTTGTTAAATAACAATCCAGTGAATGAGAAAAGAACTAACTAGAGAGTTTCTGTGGTGAACCGCTGTGCACAGCTCCCTTGTGTTCACAAACTCATCTTCCAGAGCACATCTCTAAATTCATAATACTGTCCCTTAAGAGGGTGTGTTTCTGAATTATAATCTTCCATAAACATGTCTATGACTTCCATCTTAAAAACAATAATTAGCTCTTATCAATTATATATTGAGACTGTTTGTTTGTCTGTGGGTCAGTCTTTTTATTCAAGAACTCCTCTTAAATGGTAAGAGCTAGAACCACCAAATTCAGTATGCAGCTTCCTCTTATAAAAAGCAAGGTAAGGGTTTGGTTGTGCCAGGGAAATGGGATGTGCTTGGAATGAGATTGTATGGTTTTATGAGAAGCAGAAAAGAGACAGAATCACCAGGCACATGAAAGGAGAAAATGAAGAAAAACAAAAATTATTTGAGTTAAGGACCTGAGCATCATATGCTAAAAGTAATTTTTGTTTTTTGGAAAATAAAATGAAAATGTCCATGCTTCATTTGAATCATTCCTCTGGGGTGGGTGTGGGAATGATGAGTTCAGTTTGCAGGTAGAAACTTGCAGCCAGGTGAGACGCACCTCTCCATGGCTGCTGCAGCTGCAGTGTGCACAGCCAGGGGAAGAGTGCAAGTCCCCTAGCTGAAGCAAGACCAGGTTTATCTGCCCCCTGCATTCCCCAACCAGAGTGAGGGATGCACACTGTGCATTTTTCCCTTACTCCCTCATGAAGGGGAACAGCAAGCAATGTTCCCATATAAATTGAGGGAGGGGGGTGACCTTCATCCCCTCCCACACTCTCTAAAGGCTGCCTGGTGGGTAGGAGGCTCTTTCATCTGCCTGGCGATTCTGTCTCACTTCTGAGAAGCAATCCCATTCTGAGCATATCCCGTTGTCCTGGCACAACCAAATCCTGACCTTGCTTTAAGTTTTATAAGAGGAAACTGTATACAGAATCTAAATGGGAAGATCATCAGGAGTTCTTGAACAAGCAGACAGAAAGATAGACAGACAAATTCTAAAATATATAGTAAATATAAACATCTAATAACATAAGCAACTCACATAGTACATTTCCATAAACCCTATGTGCCAGTTACCTAGAGAGGCAAAGTTACCTGCACATCACTCTGGAGTGAGTTTTTACAATTCACTTTCCTCAAATACCCCTTCTCCAGGCAGATTGGCAAGGCTGTGGGTCTTTCAGGACATTTAATTCCCTCTCTGATCTTCTCAGTATCAGCTCTTCCTCAGTCAGAATTGTTCTCTGGTTCTTTGCCAGTTTCTACTTTGTCTTTTGATGATAAAGAATCAGTCATTTGCCAGAGTCCACATCCTCTGTCAATTTTTTGGAACTTTCTGAGATTACCCTTAGATCAGAGGTAGGCAATATTTTTGGCAAGGGGGCCACTGAATGAATTTTGGTATGTGATCATGGGCCGGCCCTGCCCTGCCCTGGAAAAGGAAGGGTCTGGGGCGGAAGGGGTGGGGCTGGGAACTGGCCTCTCCCGAGATTTGTCTGGGGGCAGAGGCTTTGAATTAAAACACTTCAAAGGGCTCATGGTTCCTGGCCCCATCACTACCACATTGCCTGGCAGCTGCATGGGGTTACAGTGGCTATGTAAAAGGCTCATGGCTCTGCTCCCTGCAAGGGTACTGCTATGACTGGGAGCTGAGACATTTAAATAGGATCCTGCTACCTGACATGCCACCTGGAAATTCAGTGGCATAGGCAGGACGATCTAAATAGAAAGTGGCCAGATGCAGTCCACAGGGCAGATCAAAGCATTGAGTGAGCTGGATCCGGCCTCTGGACTATACCTTGCCCAGCTCTGTCTTAGATACACTTTGGGGTTATCAAAGGCATCCCCCCTGGTTCATCTGGAATACATAAGACATTGAATGCAATTGTTCTTTAATGGTATTAGGGATGTTAAAACAGTTTTTCGTTTACCCATTATAACTCTCAGCTCACTGCCTGCCTCATTGCTCAGCCCCACCGTGGCTGTGGGTTCCTGCTGTCTGACAGCCAGAGTTGCCCCAGACCAACACAGCTGGCTGCTACCAGAGATCATGGGTTAACTGTTAAGTCTCATGTTTACTAGTATGATTAACATCCCTAAGCAATATCCTTTTGGCCCCAGTGTGCCTGAGGAATCGCACCTGTTACCACCTAGGTTAAGAGGTGGGAATCATCATCTCTTTTGTTCAAATAACATTTGTGCTTCTGATTTTCTTTCATCCTCTATATGGTGTGATTGTCATGAGATCTAAGCAAATTGTCTGTGATTGATAAATTAGCTCTGATCCTTAACATTAACAGCTGAGCTAAAGAAAAACCATTCTCCAGACGTGTACTTGGATAAACCAACATAGCTATATAGAAATCACTCTTGCTGTCAGAAATCTTTTATGACAAGTTTTTTCCCACCCATGTAGTCATGAAGTCGGCTCTTATGCTGACAGCCCAGCTGGATGAACATCAAGTGGGAAAGAGCTGACCTTAGAAGCAGTGCCTGTAGGGGTCCATTTGCCCATCCCTTTGAGCTCATGATGACATGAGCAGCCATCTAGGCTAAGGAAGGGATGGGCACAGAGGGGGAACAGTCAGGGAAACAGATAAACAGAGACTTTCTCTACCCCACTCCCACAGGTCAGATCAGCCAGGAGTGTGATCGAGATCCAGGTAGGAGAGATGGCCCTGCGGGAGACACAAAGTAATCCACAGGCAATAGGGATGCTGAGTGAAGGAACATGAAGACAGATCTGTCTGTGTGTCCTGTTTGTCTGTCTGCCTCACTTCCATAAATTGCACAAATAGGAGGAATTGCACTGTAAACACAAAAGAATGAAATCTTGTGTCTCACTTTTTTTCCTCTCCCTAGTGATTCTGCAAAGTGATCTGCAGAAGCAGATGGGTAAGTGTCTGGGCACATTGTTTCCCTGACAGTGGGGTCCTCATAAACAAAGTAAGTACGGTTGTGGTGGCTTCTCAATACCTGGTAGTTTATAAATCAAGACTGGATGTTTTTCTGTGTGAGCTGCCATAGGATTTGTACAGGAGGTCAGACAATTTTCCCTTCCAAACTTAGAACCAATAAATCACCTCTGCCCCTTTTCCCTCCATCATAAACTCAACAGGGGATACTCACACCTCCCATCCTATTCTCCCCCTACGGACTCACGGTGAATTGAAACTTAGGTTGGTTTGCTCTGTGTGCAGAGACATTCTCCACCTTTGTCCCTTACTAAGTATGTCCAGAGCGCAAAACTTTAAAATGTGTGCAATGATTTAGGAGCCAGAGTCCCAGTGGCTCTCCACAGAACGTGGATGCTGAAGTCACTTAGGTGGTTTTGAAAATTTTACAGACCCCACCCAGTCTTCTCCCAGACACTGTCAGCAAATATTCAAAGTTCAAACAAAAAAATTAGGTGGGTATAGCCATGACTAACAGGGGGTGAGAGATGTAGCTAAATTAAAATGTTTCTAATGTAGACAAGGCCTCAGGTTTTGTGTGCATTAAGGCCACTACAGAGGTACAGGTGTAGCATGTTCGATCCAGCACCCACCTAGCCCAACAGCGTGGGGAGCCCCACCCCTAGCGAAAGTGTGTGTATATTCTCTGAGCCACTCACAAATCACACAGAGGAAGGCATCACAAATTTGCACCACAAAGGCCCGATTTCATGACCCGGTCTGCCCCTCCTCCAGTGTGGAGAGGACACACACCAGCTGAGATTGAAGTGCTTAGGAAATCTCAACTCAACCAAGCCATGTTGTTTTAGGTAAGCTATAAACACAGATTAACTACAGAAAGATGGTTTTTAAGTGGTAGGTACAAAAGTCAGTGATAGTGTGTAAACATGTAACCGCTGACAGTGGCACCGTTGATTTAGAGGGTCTTTACTAGATCCACTAAATGGAACCCAGGAAGATCAGTCACAGCAGCATCAATCTTCCACTTAGTGAAGACATGCCCTCTGACTGGTACCTTCATCCTCAGAACGGCTGGACACTTTAAAAAATGGAATGTGATATTTTTCACCCACATTTCAACTCCTTGCTGTCCAGAGCGGCATGAAAGGGCTCAAAAAAGTTTGGTTCTAGCTGGTGAGGATTTATCCAGTGCAAGTAGGGCAGAGAACAGCTGCAGGTCGCCCTAACTTTGAGGATCCACTTACAAGCCCATTTGTGGGGGTGCATGGGAATTGGGACTGAGGGATGTATCAGGACAGGGCCAAAGCACTGCAGGGAATCTAGACCATGCAGATGCCCATAGGGGCTGAGGGAAAGGCTGTCATAACTGAAGGCATACACTAAAAGCAGGTTGGACAGACCCCTGTCAGGGATGGTCTAGACTGGGCTTGGTCCTGCCGTGAGGGCCAGGGACTGGACTCAATGGCCTTTCAAGGTGCCTTCCAGTTCTGTGATTCTAAACCAGGAAAAGTGACTAGGAGTCCTGTGGCACCTTATAGACAACAGATGTATTGGATCATAAGCTTTCTTCAGATGCATACAGATCCAGACTAACATGGCTACTTCTCTGATACTAAACCAGAAAAGTTACCCACGTGGAATAAGACTATTGGCCTGGGATGTTCTACTGATAGAATGTGAGCAGCTTCTACTCCCACCTTACCTTGCTCTGGTAAAACCTTCCCTGCAGACACACCCTGAGTTACAGCTGGGGTGGCTTTGACATGCAGAGCACCCGGGATCAGGAGGATGCTGAAGGGATTTCACACTGCCTGAGCCCCATGTGCCCTGGGCTGCAGATTCTGAGCCTGAGTGTTTGAATCAGGGACCCCTATTACTTGGCTGGGTCACTTTGTCATGTTATATTCAGGGCAAGTGGTGCATGAAGCTGAGCTTCTCAACCCAATGATCCCAGTAAATGTGAAAAACCGGAGAGCCTGATCTCCACTAAAATCAGGTTTTTTACACCCAGACCGCTATGACTCTGATTATAGAGGGAGGCGAGAGGCCTGGCTGGAATATAGAAACAAGGGCCTGGCTGAAGTGGGGGCAGAAGCTTGGCTGTGGGTGCTGACTGGGGTGAGGGTGGGGTTCACCCTAACTCTTTCCTCCCCGACTCTCACCTTAAACCCTAATACCTACCTGAGTCCAGGGGGAGCAAAAGGTTAGTGGAGTGGGAAGAAGACTTCTCCAGTTATCCCATTTTCACCAAAATTGGGAGGGTTCCATACTCTAGTGTCTGGAACATGCCCTGAAACACTGGTATTGATGGGATGTGGTTTTTCAAAAGTTACCCCTTACAGACAACAGACAGGCACACGCTCTCGTTCAGCGTGGGGCTTCCCTTCTCTCAGCCCAAAGGGAAAGGAGATACAACACGGAGAGAATGGCTAACTGCACTAGACCCTATGTCTCAGCACAGCACTAACAGTTGGAGTAGCTTAGCAGAGCACCCTGTGTGACTTTTAAACTTCCCAGCAGCACCCAGACTAATGCACTAAGTGATGCAATATGGGAAAAGGGTGGACAGCCCTTGGTGGGGAAAGAACAGGTTAGGAACTATTTAGAAAAGCTAAATGTACACAGATCCATGGGTCTAGATTTAATGCATCTGAGGGTATTGAGGGAGTTGGCAAATGTCATTGAGGAGCCTTTGGCCATTATCTTTGAAAACTTGTGGAGATCTGGAGAGATCCCAGATAATTGGAAAAAGGCAAATGCAGGGCCCATCTTTAAAAAAGAGAAAAAGGACGATCCAGGGAACTATAGACCAATCAGTCTTACATCAGTCCCTGGAAAAATCATGGAGGGGAGCCTCAAGGAATCCATTTTGAGGCACTTGGAAGAGGGGAAAGTGATCAGGAATAGTCAACATGGATTCACCAAGGGCAAGTCGTGCCTGACCAATCTGATTAGCTTCAATGATGAGGTAACTGTCTCTGTAGACAAGGGAAAGTCAGTGGATGTTATAGACCTTGACTTTAGCAAGGCTTTTGATACCGTCTCCCACAATATTCTTGCCAGCAAGTTAAGGGAATATGGATTGGATAAATGGACGGTAAGATGGATAGAAAGCTGGCTAGAAGGTCAGGCCCCATGAGTAGTGATCAACAGCTTGATGTCAGGTTGGCAGTTGCTTACTAGCAGAGTGCCCCAACATTCGGTTCTAGGACTGTTGTTTTTTTTCAACGTCTTTATTAATGAGCTGGCTGAGGGGATAGATTGCACCCTCAGCAAGTTTGCAGATGACACTAAACTAGGGGGAGAGATAGATATGCTTGAGGGCAGAGATAGGGTCCAGAGTGACTTAAATAAATTGGAGGTATGGCCCACAAGAAATCTGATGAGGTTCAACAAGGACAAGTGTAGAGTCCTGCACTTGGGACGGAAGAATCCCAAGCAT